ACCCTCTACGCCCAACCAGGTCTCAGTAATACCTGCCAGGTCCGCGCCCCCCTCCAGAATAAGATCCTGTATGAGGGGGGCCTTATTTACCACGGACCTGGCATTGCATAGCATCAGCCGAAGGTCCCGGGCCGGAGGGTCTGAGTCTCCCGGGAACCGAGTGGAGACCTGAGGACCGGAGCACCCACAAGCTTGTAAAAATATTATTTTTATGTAAAAATATTATTTTATTCATAATATGAATGAGGGGTATCATTTAGATTCTCCCCTCAAATCCTGCTATACTGTGTCATCAGGCCTGGGGATTTTTTTCTGGGATTGCATAAAACAAATGTACAAAATATTAGTAATTTTCTTAATTATTAATAAGTAATAGTCAATTAGTAATTTTCTTAATTATTAATAAGTAATAGTCAATTCTTATTTTAATTCTTCTGAGACTAGTGCTAAGATTGTACTTTTGCTGTGCATCTTTTGCCATATTAAGGGACTTGCGTGCTTCAATAACATCAGGAGCTATGCTGGTAATAATAATAACAATAACAATAACAATAACAACAACAATAATAATAAAGTTGGAAGGGACCTTGGAGGTCATCGAGTCCAACCCCCTGCTCAGGCAGGAAACCCTACACCATTTCGGACAAATGGCTGTCCAGTCTCTTCTTAAAGACTTCCAGTGTTGGAGCATTCACCGCTTCTGGAGGCAGGCTGTTCCACTGGTTAATTGTTCTAACTGTCAGGAAGTTTCTCCTTAGTTCTAGGTTGCTTCTCTCCTTGATTAGTTTCCATCCGTTGCTTCTTGTCCTGCCCTCAGGCACCTTGGAAAATAGCTTGACTCCCTCTTCTTTGTGGCAGCCCCTGAGATATTGGAACATAGCCATCATGTCCCCCCTCGTCCTTCTCTTCATTAAACTAGACGTACCCAATTCCAGCAACCGTTCCTTATATGTTTTAGCCTCCAGTCCCCTAATCATCTTTGTTGATATTCTCTGTTGATCTTCTCTTTCTAGAGTCTCAACATCTTTTTTACATCATGGTGACCAAAACTGAATGCAGTATTCCAAGTGTGGCCTTACCAAGGCATTGTAAAGTGATATTAACACTTCATGTGATCTTGATTCTATCCCTCTGTTAATGCAGCCAGCACTGTGTTGGGTTCAACCACACCAAACATGACTTTGTGGAGAGGTCAATGGATGGTCCAAACATAACTTAAAGTATGGTCCAAATACAAATTGTTATGATTGATTGCACAATCAATTTACCTTGGATTTGGCATTTTTATCCATCTATTGAATCTTCCCAAGGACTTGGGAGAGATAGTTGTTATAAGGAAATAGAAATAGAGTACAACCAGTAGCAAGATGATGGATTCAGTGATAGTAGAGATGGCTGTAGCATTAGAAAGCATGAAGGACAAGGTTAGGAAAGACTGTCATGTGGTTACTAAGAGTTGATTCCAACTTGATGGCATGTAATCAAACAATATTAATATAAGTGCTTTCATTCAACTAACACACACACATATAAAACACACTGTATGCATATTACAATATATACAAACCTAAAAATGGGATCTCTTCTCATAACAGTCTGGTCATATTTCATCACCAGATAACGCAGTAAAAACATGAGGATTATACCCTGCAAGTAGGGCTAAATAGAAGCAAAAATAGAAAATTACAATCATACATCCTGCAGTATAGTTATACAGATTATACAGAACAATGTTCTGATTGGTTCAGCAGGAATCAGAATAATCCTCAATTCACATTATGCTTCTGTCCAAACTATGGTTCTCTCCACCGGAATCATAAATTACAACTGTTTCATTAAAATGGCTTGGACGCAGTCACATGCAGCTTTTGAAATTAAGACATCAACATGCAAAGTTTTTAATTTACATTTTAGCACAATCGCAGAATCAAGCTTCTAAAGCAAATAGTTCAGCAATTTCATTGAGAAATGAAATAAATATAAAGGCATAATCAATGTAGCTTCACAATTCAGTGGTGAGTTTGGTTTTATATCCAGTTTGCTGGACTCAATACAGAATTAAAATCTTTTTGAGCACTGAAAGCATGTCCTGGGAAATCAAGTCCATTTCACCTCTCCATTGCTGTTGATCCTCTATAGAAGGTAAACAACAAGCAACGACCTACCCATGGAATCATTCTCCACAGATAGAGGGGACTATGTAGAAAATGACTTAGAAGTAATCACACTGATTGGCAAGAAGTTTATTGTGGGATCACGGCCTGATTGCTAAGTAAAAAGGAGTTTTGGAGCATCTGTTTGGAAGATGTTCTCCTTCTCTGTTGGCCATGGACATGAAAATGAAAGCAGTAAACGGAACTTGTTCCATTCTTCTCCAAACTCTGATCTCCAGGCTCCTCACAAGTTCATTCATTCTTTCAGATATAAGATATTCAGGCATATCACCTTCTCAGGAACAATAATAATTCTCATGATAATTCCCTGCAACTGTAGAAAGCAGATCTGCTTGCTATCACACACTGTACCAGTGGTGTCACTTAAAAGGTAGGCAGTATATAGTATTAATGACTGCCTTTGCTTGTGCCATGGCCATATACTGAGGTCTAGGCCAAAAGGCTCCACCTCCATCTCACATCAGTGCTATACATGTGGGTGGGTGGGTGTGTTTTGAGGGAACTCACAGTTGGAATTTTGTGGTTTGGGACAAGCCCTCACCCTAGCTCTCATGATGAATATTATTATTTTCCTCATGCCTCAGCACAGTTAAAGAAATAATGCAAAATCTATTCCCAATAATAGTTAAACAAAAACCATTCCATTGAAACTCTGTGTATATATGTGAACATGGCCCCCCAGTACTATAAATAAATACATTCAGTTCTCACCATGAAAGTAGATATAAAGAGCTGTGTCTGATTTGACGTATCACCTTCATCAATATAAAAGCCTCCCAGCAGCTATTAACAAAGCAGAAGGAATTTTAAAAAAAGGACAGTTACAGTATGTATTTTCCGCATTTCTATCTCATCCAAGCAAGGGCAGACTGCCTGAGCAAATTCTTAATTCTAAATCCCTGTGCTTTCCCGCACCCCATTCCCTTCTGAGCCCTTCCCTTCAGCAGCTGCCAATCAAATGAGGGGTGGGGCAGGGAGCAAGGTGGCTGTCTGGGAGCTCTGGAGTCTGAAGCCTCTCAGTAAACAGACTCAGCTGATTCCCAAAACCCAGGAAGAAAAGCAAAGAGTCTATGAGTTGAATAACTCAAGCAAAGGCAGAGAAAGGGGCAAGGAAAAGGAGGCAGCAGCTGGGAAAACCAGAGAGAGAAAGAGAGATAGAGAGAGGCATTGAATTCCTTCCCTCTGACCTAGTCTGAGGGAAAATGTCTTCCAGCTGTTTCCCTCGGACTGAGCCAAAATTTGGAAGAGGAGAAGAATCAAGAAGCCCAGCTGGGAATAAACAAGAAGAAAAAGGTTAAGACATTTTGTCCAAACAGAAATAGAAAACAAACTAAAAGAGAGAGAGAGGGGAAAAATGTTATATCAAAGGTGGAAAAATTCTGAAATGATTTATCTTGGTTTGATTTTTTTTTTTACATCTCAAAAACCTGTGATTTTAACAGGAGTGTATAGAATTTATATCCACTATACCATAAAAGCTATGATAGCTGAACCTATTTCTTGCTCACTACAAAAATGCATTTTATTAGTACTGAGCAGAGAAATTCTGATTTATTTTTCTACCACTCAGTCTGATCAAACAAAATTCACTTTGAAGGAAAAATGAATTTTAGTGAAATTCCCAGTTTTGGAATGTCACTGGGAAGAGGCAGCCCTGCCCTTGAGGAATTGTTGGTTCCTGGGAAAAATTCAGAGAACTTTTTTACCGAATTATTCCCTATACAAACTGGGTGGATGAAAAACTGCTTATGCTCAGCTCCAATTTTCATAAGAACAGGCTAAGAGATAATAAATAATATTGCACTTACAGTTGTAAAAGAAATTATAAAAGTCGTAACTAGAAACATAGGAACAAAAAAACATAACAGGTAGCTGATGTAGTGCTGTGTAATTGAAATTGTCAAGATATTTATTAAGAACAAAAGCAGCATGACCTAAAATGAAAGAAGAAAGTATTTTAATATTTTTTAACAAATGAAATCACTTTATCCATTTTTTTCTATAACCTCTGTCTTGACTTAATACATTATATGGTGATTTCAATTAAACTACCCTTTTACATTTGATCATTGCTATCCATGAAGCAGGGACTGCTTTTCTTCTCCTCATGTTCCCCTTCCTTCTTTTTGCTTTTATAATTAAACCTGCTGGGGAAAATGAGATTTACTAACCTTATTTTTTTCACCATTGAATAATACAAAATATTTCTAACTGAATCATGGTGGGATGCTCAAACAACTTAAGTAGATGAAACATGGCAATGAACAGTTACTCAGTTATCAAGTAATTTCCTGCTTAATTCCCACCCCCAACACAATTTACTTGCTGGTGTCAGCTCAGGGGTGCCAAGAACCAGAGGGAAGGCGCCCAATGGGACACCTTAAATTTCAGGAGCAACACTATCTTGCTCATTCTTGAACTTTATCTTCCTGAATGCCTCAGGTCTTTGATGTCAAACTTACAATGACATTAAGAGGCATGTATAGCCAATAAATGTAGTGCTAAGAGGAAAGCAAAACCCTCCCCCAAAGTAAGCCTTGCAGGTGAGATTGGATCAGGAAGTCAACTCTATAGGAACTATTGAAATTGGCTATAGTTACAGAATCTTCCAAGTCTGAGTGTGCTTTTTCTCCCCTCTTTCTTACACCCCAAGGAGACAGGGAGGGATCAGCCTGAGTCTCTTCTTAATACAGTCTCCCTTCCCAGAACTTAAAGAACACTTCTATCCTGCTGTCCTTGTTTGTGTAAGATTCCTACTGTTTGCTTTAAGGTTATTTCCCTGTCTATAACCAGCATGCAAAAGAGCAAAAATTCTGTCCCTCAAAACTAATCTGTCTCCGTAGGAAACAGCTGCTACACCTACATGCCGGGTACATGGTGGGAAGTAGCAACAGAATGGTGTAGTGCTTAGCCTTCTTTTAAAGCCCAGAAGCGCTTGAAGGACAGCTTCCATCTTCCAGTAAGTTCTCCTAACCAGAGCCTTTCTGGCCAGCAGTGTGACCACAGAGTCTTCCAGGTCACATAGTTGTCAACCAAGAATACATCAGGCTGCTTTCAACCATCCCTTGTTAAGAAGAGCCCCCTTGCATATGGATACATTGGCTATATACTTACTAAAATAGAGATGAGTGACCAAAAACTGGCAGCATGCTTTTTTTGGCGAAATACGAAGGCAATTATGTATAGGAATAAAACAATCGATATACTGTAGCCAAGGAAAAATGCCACCTGCTCAAAAGAAAGCTCTGTATTAACAATTGGCTAATATCTGACCAAGAAAGCAGAAATGTCTCCTTCATTCTAATAGCTTATAATAATGTTTTTTATTCTGTTCAATCATGTTTGATTCTTAGAGATCCCTACAGTGCTTTATCATTGCCTCCTTCTTAGGGCTGAGAGAAAGTGACTGACACAAGATCATCCAGCTGGCTCATGCTTAAAGCAGAACTAGAACTCAGGGTCTCCTAATTTCCAGCATGAATCACTACACCAAACTCTCTCTTTTATAATAATTTCATACAATGCTTTAAGTACAAGGAACCTATTTACCAAACTGACATAGCAAGTATTTTAGTTAGTGAATTTGAATGAAATTAACTTATTGTAAAGCAGTTTGTGACAATTTATGCAGATGAGTACATTGCAAAGCTTGGTCATCAATCCATACCCTTGAAAGAAAGAATGTCAAAATCTTTGCATTGTGAAGGCTAAGAACAGTAGCAAAGTAAAAAAGTGATCTTAGGAAATGCTACTGTAAATTAAAGGTCCATTAATCTATACTATTTTTAATCAATGTATTTCCCTTTTTTTCTGTAAAAGCTATCCCCAATGCCTGGCAATATTTTTGCAATATTTTATATTCCCTACTCTTTTTTCCTCATTATATGAGATGGATCGGTAGGAATGATGTAATATATGTTCGCCAATTCAATTTACTTTTGCTTTCCTCACAGGTAATCCTCAACATATGATCACCCATTTAACAATGGCCTCAGAAAAAGTGACTTATGATCCACCCTCAAAGTTACAACCTTCACCCCACCCCACCCCACAGTCATATGACTGCAATTTGGATGCTTGACAATCAACTCATATTTACAGTGATTGCATATCCTGCAGTCACATGAGTATGAGTAAGCAAAGTCAATTAATTAAGTCAATTACAAGCAGATTTACTTAATGAGAATGTGATTCATTTAACGGCCATGGTAAAAGGCTTGTAAAATTGGGTCCTGTCATGTGATGTCTCTCTTAACGATTACATTGCTTAGCAGCCAAAATGGTTGCTGTCCTGATTGTAATCGTAAGTTGAGGACTACTTATATTTGTTCTTATCTTTCTTGCTGGTGGTAGGCAGTTTGAGTAAGGTTATGGCAATGTGTCTAAATAAACCCCCCTACAAACCCCACTGGCCATTTAACCACAACTGTCTTCTAAAGGTGATGAATGGGGGCAAAGTTCCTCTCTCAGTTTACTGCCAGTTTATTGCTAGTTCATTGTTGGGGAGTGGCTTTTTCAGACAGTTGATGATCAAAGACATATTCCTGCCATTCAAGGTCTATAGAAGGACTTACAAGTAGTCCTCAATGTACAACCGCAACTGAGTCTAAATTTCTGTTGCTAAGTGAAACATTTGTTAAATGAACTTTGCCCCATTTTATGACCTTTCTTGCCAGAGTTGTTAAAATAATAATAATAATAATAATAATAATAATAATAATAATAATAATAATAATAATAATAATAATAATAATAATAATAATAATAATAATAGTTGGAAGGGACCTTGGAGGTCATCAAGTCCAACCCCCTGCTCAGGCAAATAACCCTATACCATTTCGGACAAATAGCTGTCCAGTTTCTTCTTAAAAACTTCCAGTGTTGGAGCATTCACCGCTTCTGGAGGCAGGTTGTTCCACTGGCTAATTGTTCTAACTGTCAGGAAGGTTCTCCTTAGTTCTAAGTTGCTTCTCTCCTTGATCAGTTTCCATCCGTTGCTTCTCGTCCTGCCTTCAGGCACTTTGGAAAATAGCTTGACTCCCTCTTCTTTGTGGCAGCCCCTGAGATATTGGAACACTGCTATCATGTCCCCCCTCATCCTTCTCTTTGTTAAACTAGACGTACCCAATTCCAGCAACCGTTTCTTATATGTTTTAACCTCCAGTCCCCTAATCATCTTTGTTGCTCTTCTCTGTACTCTTTCTAGAGTCTCAATATCTTTTTTACATCGTGGTGACCAAAACTGGATGCAGTATTCCAAGTGTGGCCTTACCAAGACATTGTAAAGTGGTATTAATACTTCGCATGATCTTGATTCTATCCCTCTGTTAATGCAGCCCAGCACTGTGTTGGCTTTTTTGGCAGCTGCAGCACACTGCTGGCTCATATTTAAGTGATTGTCCACTAGGACTCCGAGATCCCTCTCACAGTTACTACTATTGAGCAAGGTACCCCTTATACTGTACCTGTACATGTAGATAGCACCCAGTGTTTAAGTGTGTCCAGATCCTCCTGTATCTTAAGCCTATCTTCTGGAGTGTTGGCTATTCCTACCAGCTTGGTTTCGTCTGCAAATTTGATGAGTTCCCCATCTATCCCCTCATCCAAATCGTTGATGAAGATGTTGAAGAGCACTGGGCCCAGAACAGAGCTCTGGGGCACCCCACTACACACTTCCCTCCATGTAGATGCGGTTCCATTGAGGACCATACGCTGAGTACGGCCGGTCAGCCAGCTACGGATCCATCTGGTGGTGATCTCCTTTGTCAAATGCCTTACTGAAGTCCAAGTAAATTATATCCAGCATTCCTCTGGTCCACTAATTTTGTCACTTGGTCAAAGAATGCAATAAGATTTGTCTGGCATGATCTGTTTTTGACAAATCCGTGTTGGCTTTTAGTAATGACTTTGTTTGCCTCTAGGTGTTCGCTGATTCGTTGTTTGATTATCTTTTCCAGAATCTTCCCAGGTATTGAGGTCAGGCTGATAGGTCTGTAATTTCCTGGATCCATTTTTTTTCCTATTTTGAAGATGGGAACTACATCAGCTCTTTTCTAGTCCTCTGGTAGTTCCCCAGTGCTCCAGGATCTTTGAAAAATATAGTTCAGTGGCTCTGAGATCACATTTGCCAGTTCCTTGAGAACCTTGGGGTGTAATCCGTCTGGTCCTGGTGATTTGAACTTGTCTAGGTTGGACAAGTGCTCACTTATCATTTTCTTGCCTATCTTAACTTGTGTTTCTATTCTGTTTTTTATGGCACTATTTTTGATAGGTTGGTCTGTTTTTTTCCCTTTGTGTAAAGACAGATGGGAAAAATGAGTTAAATAGTACTGCTTTCTCCCTGTTGCTTATCACCTTCTTGCCATTTTCCCCCACTAATGGACCAATCGTTTCCTTCACTTTATTGCAGTTATTAAGTTAGTGTCAGAGTTGTTAAGTGAATCTGGCTTCCCCATTGACTTTGCTTGTCAGGAGGTTGCAAAAGGCAATCACATGACCCCGAGACACTGCAACCGTCATAAATATGAATCAGTTGCCAAGTATCTGAATTTTGATCATGTAACCATGCTGCAAAGTCGTAAGTGTGAAAAATGGTCATAAGTCACTTTTTTCAGTGCTGTTGTAACCTTGAACGGTCGCTAAATGAGCTGTTGTAAGTTGAGGACTACCTGTATTCTGATTATTATAAAAATGTAGACATGAATGCTTGTCATTAAAAATTATAAATGTAAACCTGAGAGAAAATCACATGTTAAAAATGAATGAAATTCAATTACCAAGCAGGAAGTCAATCTGGGTATAAAGTGAGCGCTTGTAACTCCTATTTTTAAAAACCACGGCCAAAGAACTAAAAGAAGTAGAAGGCAATGCAGGGGCATATCCACCAGAGCTTGTCCACACCAGTAGGCAGAAGGAAAAAGTCCTGCGATTCGCAGCTGGGAACGAGTTCTTATCTAGTAAAAAAGGGAATAAAAATACCAAATAATGACTAAACTATTTAATTAAAGGATTGCATAAATTCAATTCAAGAAGATGACAGAGATAAATAGAATATACTTTTTACTTCCCTCACAGAACTTTCATCAGTATATTAATATATCATAACAAAGCCTAACAGCCTTTCATGGCCAACCAGCCTAGTCTGAATGCCCTTCCTCTCTCTCTGGTTCCTTCCTATTTACAAATATTATCATACCAAGACACTTGGTTACTTATATTCATTGTTTAATATTTTAGCAGAAAAGTTAAATTTTCTATTCTATTCTATTATTTAAATTTATATACCGCCCTATCTCCCTTACGGGACTCAGGGCGGTGAACAGGCAATAATAAAAATCACAGCAAATATTACATAAAAGCCTGCTCTAAAATATAAAACCCCTAACAAAACCCAATCAAAACTACGCCAGGCCGGCCGCATGGAACAGATGAGTTTTCAGGGCTCGGCGAAAGAGGCGCAGGTCCGCAATTGTACGTAGGTCGGCGGGCAGGTCATTCCAGAGGGCAGGAGCTGCCACAGAGAAGGCTCTCCCCCTGGGGGTCGCCAGCCGGCATTGGCTGGCCGACAGTACCCTAAGAAGGCCCTCTCTGTGGGAGCGGACTGGTCGAAGGGAGATATTTGGTAGGAGGCGGTCTTGCAAATACCTAGGTCCATTGCCATGGGGCGCTTTAAAAGTTGTTACTAACACCTTGAAGCGCACCCGGAAGGCCACCGGCAGTCAGTGCAGCTCGCACAGGAGAGGTGTTACATGGGAGCATCTAGAGGCCCCCAAAATCCCCCGCGCAGCCGCATTCTGAACTAGCTGGAGCCTCCAGGTGCACCTCAAGGGGAGCCCCATGTAGAGAGCATTGCAATAGTCCAGGCGGGAAACAACGAGGGCTTGAGTGACCGTGCGTAGGGCGTCCCGATCCAGAAATTTTGTCCTAAATCTAGTAAACGTCGCTCTTATTTAGGACAAACCCCCCCCAAAAGGCTTACATGACTCCTAGAAGGTAACTTTTTTCTAGATATAATCTCAGCCTGTGTGAAATGCATTGAATCCTTAATTAATCATCATCAACAGCAACAGCACCAAAACTCTTTTAAGACATGGGTTCAAACTCGATCTCATCACGTGACATATCGTGACATTTTTTGCCTTTGTGGAGCCGGGGTGGGCATGGCCTGCACGTGACGTACTCGGCCCAGGGGCCGCCAATTTGACACCCCTGTCTTAAGAGACAAACTGGTTGCGCTGTGTAGGTTCCCTTCAGACCTTTACTTTGGATCTGGATGGATTTCCAAACAAGTATAATTTGCATGTCAACTCTGCAATGAACCTGGCTGAAGCCATCTTGCTTGTTTTCAGTTGCCACAAGAATGTGGGAGGAATAGGGAGATTTATGCTAGTCTAAACAATTCTCTGTCCTGTGGGAACCAAGATCATTCCTGTTCATTAGACTAGGGTCTGAGCATTATGTTAGAAAGCCCACCAAACTATTCTTTTGGGAAACGCAGTTGATTGCATAGTTTCTGGGGAGGGAAGTTAACTTTGTCATAATGTAACTTTTTGGAGGAAACTTTAGTCTTGGTTTCTGTGATGATCTAGGGCACAGCACAGAGGCAATGCAGACAGCTGGCAATTCAAACAGTTCTTTTATTGCTCCAAATTTTCCCCAAATGCTCTCAAGTTTGCTGGCAAGCCTCCAACAAAATAACACACAAACCCCTTCAGCTGACTCTGGCTGAAAATAGGTTCAAATACAGTCTGATTAGCATAAGAAAGTATTCAAGGCTATAGAGATAACAAGGAAGAAAACATAAACTTAACAAGTCTGTTTGAATCCTAGCTTGCCTGAGCAGTTTCCAAAAGGGAGAATCTGAAATATAGTCCGATAGTCAACGTTTCCAGGTTTCCAAACAGAAGCAACAATATACACCACTCCAAAGAATCAGCATTTGTTCCCAACAAATGCTTCATCCCACAGTGTCTCCTTAAATCTCAATCCCCAGGTGTGCCTTGTGGAATGGGGCAGAACGCTCTCCTTTTGAGTAATTGAATCTGCCTGCATTGTTCCCTCTTCTCTCCACTCTCCGTGCTCTAGGATCAGGTGGGGGTGGGCCTTGTTCATCGCCTGAACTCTGTCTCCCCTGTTCCAATCCTGAAGAGCCCTGGCTTGCCTCAGCCTGCTCTTCCCCACAGTCCTCTGAAGCCACAGACACCTCTCCCTCGGCCTCCATAGGATCCTGTTCCAGCTCCATTTCCTCCTCAGATTCAGGCTCAGATGGAGGCATGACATTTTCACTTTTGACCGTGCCAATACTTTGTAGTCAATAAACATTAGAGGAAAACTCAAGCCTCGGAGTTCTGTTTTAGTTGGCCTCATCTATCGGAACCATTACATTAAACCAAGACTCGTTGAATCTTTAATATTCAGGGTTCTGAGGTCCAGTCCCCTACTTAACACCTGTAGGAGGATGTCAAAGAGTCAGGGAAAAATCTGAGATGGAGAAGAGAGGAGAGGTGTTCTCTAGCCTCAGTGTGACATCCGCTGCCGGAACATAGGCTACCGCCCAGGTAGAGAGTGGGACTCCTGCCACTGTCGCACAGCCAAAGGTCTGGGTAATCCCGTCGGAGGATCAGGGGCAATCGGAGGGAATCTTGATCCTGGGGGAACTTGGTCAACCAGAAACCATCTCTCAGTGATGGAGCACCCCTAAAGCTGCTGAGGTAGACTTCTCACTGATTTTGTCCCATGGCCTTCGTTCACATGTGCTGAGAAAGGTGAAGCAGCCAGCTGGTTGGGATGAATCGGGAGAGTGGAAGTACCTGACTGCCCTTCACAGCCGCTCTGTTGAGAGTCAGAGAGAAGTTTGACCAACTTGAAGTGGGAGAAGTAGAGCCAATTGCTCGCCATCTGATCTCTGGTGGACAAGACCGCAGAAGCTCTCTAACACTCCCCCCTCCCCAGCAAATTCCAAGCCCAGTTGTAATGGCTCATGCTGCTTCACCACTACCCTGGTCAATCTCGGCATCAAGTCCTGTATGCTGGTGTAGTCCTGAAAGAGTTTGGCGCCCTGCAAGCCCGGGAGCCCAGCCGAGAGGGTTTCACAATGTGGTTCCCCCACAACTTCAGCACTAGTGACTAGGCATCCAGCAAGCCTACTGGGGACAACGGCTTGTAGATCCATCTCCTATCAAACCCACATTTGATGGAGACTCTGAGAAGCTGTCTTTCTTCCTGAAGCAGGTGTGGGCTCACCTGAACTGCTACACTCATGCTTACCCCAACAGAGTCAGGATGGTTGATGCCATAGCAGCAAACCTAGAGGGGGAAGTCGCCAAGTGGGTGACCACCCTACATGATGAACAGGCGTCAGAATTGTGGAACATCAACCTGTTCATGGGTGAGCGGAGAGCCAGGTTTGAAGATGAGTCCCAAGCCCTGCAAGCCAAGAAGGATATCCATGATCTGAAGCACAGAGGAAGACCAGCTAAAGATTACGTCCAAGAGTTTCAGAAGGTGGCTGGCAAGCTCAGACAGTGGCCAGAGTGCTCACTAATCTGCCACTTCAGAGCGGGGCTAGACTGTGATTTGTTCCAGGCGTGCACCTACCAAGGAGTTCCTGATCAACTCCGTGAATGGTAACGCATGGCTATAAACCTGGACATCGAACTGGACTGCCACCCAAGGCCTGCCACCTCTGAGTTCAGACCGCGGCGGGTCCAGTATAGGTGACAAGTGGCCTGACATCCCCAAGCTATTGCAGCCATCGGTTGCCTTCGGGCGCCAGCAGGAACCCTAATCAAGTGCTTCAGGTGTGGCCAATTAGGACACCGAGATGCTGATTATCTGGTCCCATTTCCCCAAACCAAGAGTGCACCTGCCGCCACCGCAAAACCAAAGACGAAGCCTCATTCTGTGCAAGAAAAGTCAAATTGGGCCAGCCAAGAGCAAGCTGTCTGGGTCACTTCTCCACCCCAGGAAAAAGTGGAAACTCTGCCGGAATGACTCCCGATGCCAGCACCGTATGACAGTGATGATGAGGGGGAAAATGACCCAATGGTGAGTCAACCCATCCCGCCTTTTAACATTTCTGTGAAAATCATAGTACCCAAGACAGAAGCCCAAATGGACTTAAGTGTCTTAATCAACTCGGGTTGTACCATATGCACAATCAACCTCTCTACAGTGCTAAAGCTAGGAGTTCGTGCTAAACTACTGCCCCTAACCATGAGGTTTGAACAGGCAGACGGGTCTCTCATCAGGGGAGCTCCTGCCATGCACCTAACTGAGCCATTGCATTTGGAAATGGAGGAGCACTGGGAAATCATCTTCATAGTGGTCCCAAAAATGACAGGCCATCATTCTTGGATTAGCTTGGCTTGATAAATGTTGCCCCTGGATTTGATGGGAAGATGGAGTGAGGACATTAAGATTAGCGAGGGGACCCCTCCTTCCTACCACACTCAGTGGAGTGCGAGGAGTGGTCGCTACTGAAGACCAAGGACAGCCACTTGAGCTATTGAGAACTGCCATAGAGCCCATTCCAGGGACCCAACTTATACCAAGTGAGTACTGAGATTTAGGGGAAGCTTCCAGTAAAAAGGAATGTGACATCCTTCCCCCCCCCCCGGGCAACTGACTGTGCAATTGAAATCCTACCGGGAGCCAAACTCTCAAAGCCAAATATGTAGTCATTGACGCCCAGAGAGTTAAAAGAACTGAGGGAGTACATTGACTAGAATCTAGCCAGAGGTTTCATCCAATTCGCAAAGCCACGCATGGCTGCCCCCAATCTGTTTAAGAAAAAAACAGATGGATCACTGATATTGTGTGTTGATTTTAAAGGGTTAAATGCGGTCATGGAAAATATGTACTCCCTCCCCTTGATGAAGGACATGTTGGCCCATTTGGCGAAGGGGAAGTTTTTCACAAAATTGGACCTAAGAGAGGTTTATTACCAGGTGCGAATTAAAGAGAGGGAAGAATGGAAAACAGCTTTCAATAGTCCTCTAGGAAGCTTTCAGTTCAAAGTTATGCCATTTGGCCTCCAAAGGGCCCCTGCCGTGTTCATGCAATTGATCAATCAAGTGTTGCATGATCACCTATATAAAGGAGTCCTAGTCTATCTTGATGACATCCTTATTTACACTGAAACCATGGTAGAGCATGTAAGATTAGTGCACTAAGTGCTCAGAAAATTACTGAAAGCAAAACTTTATGCTAAACTCTCTAAATGTGAATTCCATCGAACATGTCTCTACTACCCTGGGTACAGTATATCCAGCGAAGGGGTAGAGATGGACCCAGCCAACATGTTCTTAGAGGAAAACTCTAGGAATTCTGTTTCAATTGGTCTCATATATCGGAACCATGACATTGTACTGAGAGGAAGAGGAGGATGGAAGACGAAAACTATATATTCACACAGATTATGACATTAATGTTGGTTTTATCAGTGAAATGACCTTTCTGGATAAACTAACTTGTTCCTTTAATACAGTTTTAGATATAAGCTCGTTTTTATTGTCTTAAGTCTTCTAAAATCTTGTTACAACAATTATATCTTTTCTTTTTGCATTGGGCATTGTTTCTCAATATAAGGTCTAATTTCTTTCAGTGATGCATCACTCTTTAATGTAATAGTCATAGTATAAAAGGGCAAAGGATATGTGCAGCAAAAGCTACACACTTGCCTCAAATATCAGGTTGCATGTATGTAATGATGTTATTGGCATGATGATGTCACTGTTTGCGTGTCATCAATTTGTCATCATCATAGTATGATAATGAAACTCTAAAAGAGCATCCTTTCAGAAATACATATGGCTTCTACTCTTCAAATGTTCTGAAAGTCTTTTAAGGCCAGACTCTCTTCCCATGCCTTGTATTTTGGCACTCCTCATTATTTTCCCCAGGTGTTATATATGTAGTTTTATCTTTTGAAATTAGCAGGATCTGTAAGATTGTCTGGGACACTACTCATCCTCTTCAGGACCTGTTTTCCTTGTTACCTTCTGGGAGGAGGCTCTGTGGTATCTGAAGCAGAACATCCAGATTCAGCCATAGTTTCATTCCATACAGCATTAACCTTGCTAACTCTCAAGCTTCCTCCTTCCATTATATATTCAAGATGGACAGGGTTTAATATTTATTTGTTATGTATATGTAGGGGTGTGGGTCTTTATATAGTATGTTTAGGTGTGTGTCATGTATGTGTTCATTTTCAGAGTGGGCAACTAAATTTCATTTTTGATGTGTGCCGATGTGCCCACAGTAAAAAATGACAATAAAGGTTATCTTATCTTATCTTATGTATTATTTTAAATATTAATTATGTATTATTTTAAATATTGTAAGCTGCCCAATTGTTTTATTTTGTTTTGTTTTTGTAGTTTAGGCAACCTTGAAATCCAATCAATCAATTTTTAAAAAAAATATATATTTGTATTTTTGGGGGATAGCATCAGCACAAAGTCAAGATAACTGCAATTATTTTTTAAAAGCCATAGCTATAATGAGAAATGAGTAGAGAGCTGCACAACTTGGTCTCCGCAATGACTGAGATGTTTCAATCGTTTGATGTTAAATTTCAAAATAGATGTGATCAAGTGATGCAACAACAACAGGACTTATTACAACAACAAGATTTACCACAGAAACAGGAGGATTTTTGTTTGAATGCTACAATTGCTTCTCAAGATCTGGTTGAACAAGTGGATGCGGTG